CCAGGCACGTCGCTTTGGAGCCAATTCAGCTCCAATGAGACCCCGCTTATAGAACACTAAAGATGGCCACCGCCTCACAACCAGTGAGTGCACCAAACTCATTGAAAACATTTAAAACCTTTTTCTTTTTTTAATGTAATAATATATTTTTTCACATTGAAAGACTCTCCGCTTTCTCTTCTCCTCTGTGTTTTTCAAAAAAATTAAACAAATTTAATAATAAAAAGTAATAAACATAAGGTGTAGGTGTGAGAGGCGCCTTTGTAAAGAGTTTATGTTATTATTGTTGACTTACACCATGAAACAGCTCAGAAACGATAAGAGATACGATGGCTGAATGTCCTCTTGTGATCCAGAAAATTCCACAGTTTCAGTGTTTAACAATAACAACAACTTGCATTATAGTGAAGTCCTGTAGCAAAGTGATTAGCGCGCTCGCCTCACATGCGAAAGGTTCTGGGTTTGATTCTTGGTCGGGACAAAACCTTAGGCAACTTTCCTTATTCCATGCGCTTCTGTTCACCTAGCAGTAAGCTTGTTGACCGATTGGATGATCGCTTTCCGGGGTAATATTCCCGCTAAAAAATAATAATAATTTGGTCACTCAATCCATAATTGACTGGGACATCGCTGTGCGTAATTGACTGCTGTGTTTCACTCATAAAGTACACAGTCACAGTTACAGTGAAGCGCTTTGAGACGCCTCGACGACATGATAAGGCGTTATATCAAATGCAAGGATTATTATTATAACATGCCCAATGTCTCGCCCGCTCAATCACCACATTTAACCCACACATTATTGTCAAACTATACACAAAATATGGTGTTACCCCAACAAAGTATGCAATCACTACATTTTAGAATATATTCTGTGAAGCACTTTGAGAGGTCTCAATGACATGAAAATGCGCTATATCAAATGCAAGGATCATTATTATTTATAGAAACGAGTTATTGTCGGTTCGTGACAGGATGCCTCTCTGTGTCCTATGGATAAAACGCACTAATTTCCGTCGTGTGTTTAGTCCTGGGTTTCGAGGTCTTATCTCTGTCCGTCAGGGACTGAGTTTGGCTCAGACACGTCTGCTGTTTGGGGAGCAGCAAGCTAAACTCTGTCTAATTTGAGATTATTCTGCAAAGGGAAGACCTTGGCTATGTTTCTTCTTTACCTGGTTCTCTCGCTGGGTGAGTGTACTTCTCTTTGAATAATAAAAATAATAATCCTTGCATTAGATATAGCGCCTTTCATGTCTTTGAGACATCTCAAAGCGCTTCAAAGGATGTACTGTGAAGGTTAGTGACGATTTTTTATGGGTGAAACGCGGCAGCAACGTACCACAAACAGTCGTGGATTGAGTGACCAAATTATTATTATGTTGGAGGGATTATTACCCTCGGAAAGCGATTAGCCAATCAACTAACAAGCGGGTTCCTACTTAACTGCTAGGTAAACAGAGGCTTGTGGAGTTGGGAACGTTGGAGTTGGGACCGTTGAACGGTGCGAAAGTTTTCGCACCCCCCACCCCCGGGAATCAAACCTGGGTCCTCTCACTTGTGATGCGAACGTGCTACCCGCTACAACAACAACAACAAACAACATTTGTATAGTGCCTTTCCCGTTGGGAGGATGTCGAAAGCCGCTGGATAGTCCCTGTTTTGGACCTGAGCTGGGGATCGGGATAGGGGAGGATGGAGGGCGGGGGGGGGGGAGGAGGGTTTTGAGATGAGTCTTGAAGGAGGCAAGGGAGGGGGCGAGTGGGATGGACTGTGGGATGGAGTTCTAGGGAGTGGGGTAGAGTGGCAGAACACCCACCCTCCAACGATGGGGCGAGGCGGGGGCCATAAAGCAGTCCGGAGCCTGCTGAGTGGAGGAAGAAGGCAGGTTGGTAGATGGTTACGAGGTCGCAGAGGTAGAGGGAAGCAAAGTCATGAAGGTGAGGACCAGGATCTTGAACTGTATCCTCTGTGTGATGGGCTACATTACATGCCTCGGTATAATATTATTATTATTATAATAATTATAATAATTCTCACATCTGATAAAACGCCTTATTGCATGGTTGTGATGTCTGGTTGAGAAGTTTCTGGTTTCACAACTTTACTGTAACATATATACTGTATATACAGAGAGAGTGACTGAGCCAAGCTGACACACTAATGTTTGAGTTTAATCTTTATATTTCTCTGCAGTGGGTTCCTTCACTGGAGAATGTCAGCCCCTGTGGAAGGGTAAGAGATTGCACAGTCAGAGACATTAAACCTCACTCCTTGTCAAGGTGGAAATTTCCCTCTCTTCCCCCTCTCCCTCACCCTCTCTCTCTCTCTCAGTCTCTCACACTCACACATACTCTCTCTCTCTCTCTCTAACACATTCTTTGGTTACAGGTGACCTCCCTCTCCCCACCGTGTGTGTGGAGCCGATGGACGGTGTGGTGGGGGAGGGCGACACGGTGCGTGTATCATGCTCCATGCCGCCCCCTCCCCCGAGCCATGTTTTCCTGTATAAAGTCCAAGGCACCATCCTCCAGCGCTGGGACCAGGTCACTGACCAGCGAGTGACTCTAACCATCCACAACGTCACCACTGAGAATGCAGGGGGGTACGAGTGCGTGTACGCTGTGCGTGGGGAGAAGCAACTGGTTTATTCCCCGTACAGTCAGGTAGTGCAGCTCACTGTGCGAGGTGAGATGTCAGTCACTGTGTATGTATGTGTGTGTGTTTATCTGTGGGTGTGTCTCTGTGTGTGTGCTACAGTCACTGTTGTGTGTGTGGGTCTGTCACTGTGTGTGTGTCTTGTGTATGTGAGTGTGAGAGGGAGGAACTGGTTTATTCCCTGTACAGCGGTAGCGCAGCTCACTGTGCAAGGTGAGACATCAATCACTGTGTGTGAGTGTGTGTCCATGTGTGCATTTGTGCCTTCGGTCACCTTCCTACCTCCACCCTCCCTGCCCTCCTCCCATCCTGATCCCAACCGCCAGCTCAGGTCCAAATCGCTGACTATCCAGTGCCTTGGGACGTCCTCCCCATATGAAAGATGCTGTGTAAATGTAATGTGTGGTTGTAAGATTATATTTGTGATGCTTAATGTTTTTTTGAGACCTTTAATTAATCTTTATATTCTTTTAGAATGTAACCTATTCATAATCCTTTGATAAGGTTGGTTTATGTCTCTGACTGTGCAATCTCTTACCCTCCTCTATCATCACCACCATATCCTCCATGAAGCCCACCACCTGCTCCCTGGACCCCATCCCCACCCCTTTCCTTAAATCCCAGCTCCACCTCCTTGCCCCACTACTCACCGTTATCATCAACCGCTCCCTGTCATCTTGCATGTTCCTACCCTCCTCAAAACAGCCACTACCCACCTTGAAGAAACCTTCCCTTGACCCAACACAGCTATCCAGTTACCGGCCCATCTCCAACCTCTCTTTTCAGTATAAGGTTCTTGAGAGAGCTGTTGCCTCCCAGCTTCGCCCTTTCCTCTCTC